AGATTACAGATTACATACACCAAAATGTAGTTTGTAACGTAATCCATTAAATTACTTAAAGTGAGTAATGTAATCTGATTACTTTGGATTACTTGATTTGTTGTAGAGAAACAAAGACGAGGAAATCTTCACATAAGATTTTGTCTGATAAAAGAAAATAAAAAGTCCAAACTTTACTGAACCAAATTAAAAATATTATTGATAGAAAACGAAGAAACACGTCCACACAGCAGGATTTAGTCCTGTTAAATCCTGTTTTAGACCTGGTTTAGTCCTGGTTTAGACCTGGTTTAGACAAGGTTTAGATCTAGTTTAGACTTGGTTTAGACCTGGTTTAGATCTACGTTAGACTTGGTTTAGACCTGGTTTAGATCTACGTTAGACCTGGTTTAGATCTAGTTTAGACGTGGTTTAGATCTACTTTAGACCTGGTTTTAGTTCTGGTTTAGATCTAGTTTAGACCTGCTTTTAGTCCTGCTGTAGTCCTGGTTTAGTCCTGGTTTTAGATCTGGTTTAGTCCTGGTTTTAATCCTGGTTTTAGTCCTGGTTTAGTCCTGGTTTTAATCCTGGTTTTAGTCCTGGTTTAGTCCTGGTTTTAATCCTGGTTTTAGACCTGGTTTAGTCCTGGTTTTAATCCTGGTTTTAGACCTGGTTTAGACCTGGTTTAGATCTGTTTTAGACCTGCTTTTAGTCCTGCTGTAGTCCTGCTTTAGTCCTGGTTTTAGTCCTGGTTTAGTCCTGGTTTTAATCCTGGTTTTAGTCCTGGTTTAGACTTGGTTTAGATCTAGTTTAGACCTGGTTTAGTTTCTGGGAATGAGTGGAATTACCGGGGGGAAAAAAAGGGAGGGGATTTAGCCCAAAATGTGAAAACAGGAAAATCCCTCTGTGTTTAATCCATTTATTTCAACAAAGTAACTGTAATCCAATTCCCACTCACTGAAACAGTAACTGTAACTGAATACAGTTACTCATCATTTGTACTCTGATTACTCTGGTACATGTACATGCCTCTCACTTCCAACCCTCTGAGTGGCAACATGAGTAAGTTTTTATGTTAAAAATGAATGTTGACAAGTACATTTGTAGTATTTTGTTGAAGTTTGTAGTATTTTATAGATATTATTTGAGATGTTCCAGTAGTGGTAATGGAGCCTATTTGAGTTGTGTGTATTACTTCTCAGCTCACATTAACCTGTTAATTGTCTGTATAGTAACATTAAAGGTTTGTTAGGCCTGTTCTATCAAAAATCACAACTGGAATCGATCGATTAAAAGTCTAAAAGAATTTATTCCCTGTCCAATACAATTCTACTACAGACCACTGTCCCTGATGGTTTATTCTACACAGGACTTAGTTTCAGACAGTCTGAACCCCTGCATCTGTCCCTTAACCCAGTATAAACACATTCACAGAAATATGCAAATGATATGTTAATGAGGTTCACGCCTTGGATCCTCCCCGAAGCCTCTCCGTTTATGGGAATGACCGGATCTATTCAGGTTTGGTTCCAGCCAGGACGTCCCCCTGTCAGCTGCTCTGTACAGAAAATCCTTAAAAAGACACAACCCACACAGCAGTTTCTTTAAACACATGTATCAGATTTCAATAGTTAAGCAATAATTGTGTGACTTCATTAACAACATTTAAACAAATATATGATTTCAGCATTTAATAATTGCATGTGGTAAACTCACGACACTTTATTATTTGTAACAGCCTTCAGGTTGTGTAGAGGATTTTCCAAGGAAGGAGAAACCCCCCCCCCACTGCTCCCTACGTAGAAACACCTCCTCCCTCCTCCTCCTTACGCCACAAACAGGTTTATTTCTAGAAAACAAGTCCTCATCGCTGCACATGACTTGTAAACAACTAACTACAACTAACTACAACTAACTACAGTGTTGGTGAGGCAAGACGGAGAAGAGCGGAGCGAGGAGAGGAGAGGAGAGGAGAGAGAGAGAGAGGAGAGGAGAGAGAGAGGAGAGAGGAGAGGAGAGGAGAGGAGAGGAGAGGAGAGGAGAGAGAGAGAGAGGAGAGGAGGAGAGAGAGGAGAGAGAGAGGAGAGGAGAGGAGAGGAGAGGAGAAGAGAGGAGAGGAGCGAGGAGAGGAGAGAGAGAGGAGAGGAGAGGAGAGGAGAGGAGAGGAGAGAGAGAAGAGAGGAGAGGAGAGGAGAGGAGAGAGTGAGGAGAGAGAGAGGAGAGGAGGAGGAGAGGAGAGGAGAGGAGAGGAGAGGAGGAGAGGAGAGAGAGAGAGAGAGAGGAGAGGAGAGAGAGGAAGAGAGAGAGAGAGAGAGAGAGAGAGAGGAGAGGAGAGAGAGAGAGAGAGGAGAGGAGAGGAGAGGAGAGAGGAGAGAGAGAGGAGAGGAGAGGAGAGGAGAGGAGAGGAGCAGGACGGGGAGCAGAGAAGGTGCACAGAGATTCAGTGCAAATGAAGCTGCTACTACAACACGCAGCAGCAGGTGGACTCTTTCTTTGCATTGAAAATGACGTTTTCAGACACAGGACACCACATTCGTGTCCTGAAAAACGTTTGTCTCACTCTTGGAAATAAAGTACGTTTTCATAATAAGCAGAAGTTTCCTGTCCAGGAGTAATTTGTGGACCAGTGCGTCAGTCTTTAGATCAGGGGTCTCAAACTCAAATGACCTGGGGGCCACATTAGATAAAGTCTGAGTGAGGCTGGGCCGCATTGAGTATCGATAAATAGCTGGTGCACGAGAAAAAAGAGAGAGAAAGAACAACACGCAACACACTTTCTTAATCTTTAATAACAGTTTCAGAACATAAACGTAAGTTTAAACTAATACGTCTACTCTTCTTCTTTTGCCTACTTCTTGCTGGTTGAAACCTGGTTACACTTCATCTTGTACAACTGAGAGATGTTTGACTTGCAGGAGGAAGCAGATCCTCAGGATAGATTGAAGATGCTCATCAGTGACCCTTGACCTGTATTAGGTGCTTTCACACTGACAGTATTTGTTGCACCAAACGGTCCATTCGAACCAGAAGTGGTTAGTTCGGTTCGTTTGCGTTGGTGTGAAAGCGTCAATCGGACTCGGACCCGAACCAAATCAAGTGGACCGAGACCTCAAAAAAGAGGTGGTCTCGGTTCGCTTGAATCCGCACCAAATGACCAACTTTGGTGCGGTTCCTCTGGTGTGAACGCGAACCCGGGTCCAAACCACAGACAGCAGGTCCAAACGAACTATTCTAGATGCATCATGGGAGAAACGCGTCTCCTGCCTGTAATGACGCTGTACGACTCCAGCGCAGTAACAGATTATTGTCCAGACGCAGCCGCGATTCATTTTCTAATTATTTTACCAACAATGGCCAATACAGAGAATGAAACACACGAAGATCAGAGCAAGAACCAACGTGTGGCTCCAGAGTGAGTCAAAAATGGGGGTGTGTCTGTCTGTTCAGGACCTGCACAGAGACGACCCGGTGTCCCCCGTGATCATGTAGGAACCAGCATTTGTTATTTTCGGCTTTAACCCTTGTGCTATCCTTCAGATCAGTCCAGTATATTGTAATAATAATGATATTATTATTTACTACTACTACTACTACTACTACTACTATTACTACTACTACTACTACTACTACTACTACTACTACTACTACTACTACTACGAACACAACCGCGATCGCAATGAGGTGACGTTTCCTTTCTAGAGACACGTTAAACATAAAAAATAGCGATATGCATTCGTAAACGTGATTTCAAAATATTCGTAGTACTTTAATCAAATACTGAGTCACCACGCTTTACGGTTTAGCACTTAAATATATACTTGTGTTTGTGTTTTCACAACGTGTCAGGATGGCCGAGTGGTCTAAGGCGCCAGACTCAAGGATAATCTCCTTCCTTCCGTAGAAACGGGACTTCTGGTCTCCGACTGGAGGCGTGGGTTCGAATCCCACTTCTGACACATACCTTTTCTTGACTTCAGACACATAAATCTAATACTGTCTTTTGATTTACGATGTAATAATTATTATAATTATTATTATTATTATGCATAATAATGATCAAAAGTGCATATTGTTGGTACTGCATATTCATATATATATATATATATATATATATATATATATATATATATATATATATATATATATTTTTTTTTTTTTATTACACTTTGTTACACATACAAAAGGTTAAAAACAAAGAAAATCATGTATTGGAGATTGAATTACAACACATCTAAATAATAATATGCACATGAAATGACACAATGTCACAACAAGAAGAAGAAGAAGAAGAAGAAGAAGAAGAAGAAGAGGCAATAGGAGCTCTGGGCAAGTCCTGCCAAGTGCTGCAACATGAGCACAGACGTCACAAGACGTCAGAGGCTTTTCTTTGACTCTATTTTATCAGGTTGTCGTCGTCGTCGTGGCCAAGGTGACAGGATGACATTTCTTCATACACAGGTATGAATCTTATCTCATAACATGTCCTCATACACATGATGTGGATCTGAAGGAGTGACATGTTCTGGTCCATGTTTTGCAAGAAAACAATTGACCTATAAGATAAATAAGTCAAATTTAAACTTGTGCTATAAACTGTATAACAAGAAACTAGCACAGGCTCGCGCATGCACGCAAACACACACACACACACACACACACACAGAGTGAGAGAGGAAAAACAAAAAAAACAAAAAAATACTTACGTGTACCTTTCCCAGTTTTAGGAGAATCAAAGGTAAACCGAACAATATTAACAGCAGCAGCAGCAGTGCAGATGAGGAGATGACAGCAGATGACAGAAGAAGCATAGTAGTAGTAGTAGTAGTAGTAGTAGTAGTAGTAGTAGTAGTAGTAGTAGTAGTAGTAGTAGTAGTAGTAGTAGTAGTAGTAGTAGTAGTAGTAGTAGTAGTAGTAGTAGTAGTAGTAGTAGTAGTAGTAGTAGTAGTAGTAGTAGTAGTAGTAGTAGTAGTAGTAGTAGTAGTAGTAGTAGTAGTAGTAGTAGTAGTAGTAGTAGTAGTAGTAGTAGTAGTAGTAGTAGTAGTAGTAGTAGTATTTGTCATGTGGTCATTATGTTCTATAGGCTTCAGGGCTGCAGCACCTTTGAACAGATGTAGATATTAGCATAAATCCAAATGACAAATAAAAAAAACAATGCTTTATGAATTCTGTATCATAATACACACACACACACACACACACAGACACACACAAACACACACACACACACACACACACACTTAAATAACCAAGTAACATGGTAAAATAATAAGTGTGGTGGACTCACGTGAGACATTGAGAATCATGCTAGTGTGGCTAGTTATTAATCCGTCGTTCACAATGTAGGAAGAAGCTCTACACCATATCAGGAGTCCACGATGGGCTTCTGTCAGAGTCACGTTGCGTGTGATTGTAGTGTTATATGTCCCCTGTGCGTCCGTGACTATTTTGTGGTCTGTAACAACAGTCCTCTCACGGTTTGGCCAGAGGTTCCACTTGAGCCGAGGGAAGTGAAGAGGACAGGGCGTGACAGCTGAGCAGGTAATAGTCACCACCTCTGTCTCTCTCTGTTCACCACAGACTTTTAGTGTGGGACTCCAGGGAGTGTCTGGGGAGAGTCAAAGAAAAATAAAGGATAAACAAACAAAACAAACACACACACACACACCTTTGAAGAAAACTAAAGCAATATGCATTAAACTGAAGAAAAAGAACTACTACTACTACTACTACTACTACTACTACTACTACTGTCTGTAAGCCTAAAGACACCACATAAACACATAGTAACATTAGACCTTTTGCCCTGAGAAAGGAGTTACAGATCATCAGTGTGCTAAATCATTTTCTGCTGTAAATGAATGTGTGTGTGTGTGTGTGTGTGTGTGTGTGTGTGTGTGTGTGTGTGTGTGTGTGTGTGTGTGTGTGTACATCAGATCAGAGTGAGTGAGTGAGTGAGGTGCTATTTGTAATTCCATTGTTTTATTTTCTCATTTAATGACGATAATCAACATCAAAAGGTTTTAATGTCTGTTTGTTTTGTTTTTTTTTTTCTGCCTTTTTTCTCCTCCTCATCACTAAACTTGGAAGAAATAGGAAAAGTGTGTCGTCTTACCTCTGACTGTTATGTGAAGAGGGTCACAAACAGCTGTGGCTGAGAAATCTCTGCTCACTACTCTGAAGTAATAGTCGCCTTCATGCTCTTTTTTTAAGTCATAAAACACAGTGTTGCAGGAGTTGTTTTCTAAGCGCCCAGTGATATTCATGGGATAAGACAGACTGTCGACTCCGCTGACTGAAAAGACATTCGGTACACTTACTTTATAACTATTTTTAAGCCAAATACCCACTATAGCCTGTTTAATCCATGTACTGTTCATTTGAGATGATGAGGGTGAATATGTGCATGGGATCTGCAAGCAGGAGCCTCTCAAAGCCTCCAGCTTTGAATTGTAAGTTGAAGTTGAAGTTGTTGTAATGGACAGATTAGATGACAAACCACAACACTCGGCACCTCCTGTAAAACATGACGCACAGGTAGGTAGGTAGGTAAGTAGGTAGGTAGTGTAAGTAAGTAAGTAGGTAGGTAGGTAGATAGGGCTAAAAGTACAGTAACAGAAGATACATGAGTTGACACACAGACACACACACACACACACACACAGAGACAGAGGTCTTCACTATGCAGTGTTTCTCGTTACAATGTAAAGCACAGTTACTGAGTGATGACAAGGCTACATTTTGTGCTGTTATTTATATTTATATAGCAATATTTAAAACAAAAACAAACAAAAAAAAAACTTTACTCACCTGAACACAGCAGCACAAGTAAGATTAGTATAAACTGATTAAACATATTTGCAGAGGGCAGAATCTGCAACAAAGATGTAGAAAGATAGAAAATACAAGAGGCGAGTGTATTGGTTTTGTTTTTTAATATATTTTATTAGTTTGTTATGTATACAAGGTTACTGGTTTTGTAAGTAAGTAATGACTTACAGTGTCGTCTGTCTGTGCACCTCTCACTATCTGTATCATCTAGTTGTGGTCCTCGTCGTCAGTCTTGTTCTCCTCTGAATGCGTTTGAGCAAGGCTGACAAAACTGTACGCTACACTGTCCGCACATGTATTTGTTACATTCCGAGCAAACGGTCTGTGTTTTCCGGTCCTTTTTGCTGGGGCATATTTGACACCTCTTTCTTTTATTGCTTGTTTTTGGTCTGTTGTCCTGTTGTTGCTCCTCCTCTTCTTCTTGCTCTTCCTCTTGCTCCTCCTCTTCCTGTCCCTGTCCCTGTCGCTGGATGCCTAGAACCACAGCGAGGGACGTTTCCGTGCGAGGCATACGCCGTCGCCTCTGGATGAGCGGCGTCACGAGTTCTTTGCCGAGTTGCTCCAGAAATATCCTTCTCTTGTTGCGTCTCGCCGACATCCACGTGGGGTTGAGCTCCCGCCACAGTACGAAGGCGTTGTAGGACGAGACGTCCAGGATGTTGTGAAAGACAGCCAGGGGCCAGCGCGCCGTCATCCGCCTGCAGCTGTAGGCGCTAATAACCTTGTCCAGATTGTCAACTCCGCCTTTGTTGCGATTGTACTCGTTCACCAAGTCGGGCTTGGTCCCCCGTGCCGCTCCCGCTGCTATCGGTGCGTCTTGTCGTTCTCGTTCTCGTTCTCCACGTTCTACAGGCTCGCAGAGATGTCGCCGCTTTGTACTCAGCAATAGTACGTTCCTTTTTTTTTTCGGCATATACGAGACCAGGACGGCAGGCAGCGGAGCAAAGAGATAAGCGGACAGCGGCGACGACGACGAGGACGACGGGCGGCTATTACTATTACCGTTTCTTCTCTTCTTTCCTCCTAGCTGCCGCAAACGGGCTCGGAGGAACGCCTGCGGCAGCCAGGGCTTATTTTTGCGAACGGTGCCGACCAAAGTTAGATCCCGCTCGAGATACAGCCTTCGGGCTAGCTCGTAGGAGGTGAAAAAATTGTCACAGGTTACAGTGCGTTCCCCGCCGAGTCCCTCTGTCAAATCCAAGACCACTTGCGTGGCTAAATTAGTATTTCTACTAGTGGTGGTAGTAGTAGTAGTAGTAGTGTTTGTAGTTGTTCCGCAATCAGCAGGCCTGTTCTTGCCGCCGGTGTAGATTTGCATTTTCCAGGCGTAGCTAGATCTCGCGTCACACGCGACCCAAGTTTTGATGCCGTACTTTGCCGGTTTGTTGGGCATGTATTGGCGAAAAGGACATCTTCCTAAGTAACACAGATAATAACAACAACAAAAAATGAATACAATTTGCATTTTTCTTGTTGCTGAGTAGTATTACTACTACTACTACTACTACTACTACTACTGCAAATACTACTACTACTACTGCAAATACTACTACTACTACTACTGCAAATACTACTACTACTAATACTACTACTAATACTACTACTACTACTACTACTACTAGTTGACAACACTAGACACACAAAACACTTTTCTAAACACTACTATTGTACTGTTACTGAATGAATAATAAGTACCTCTGAACCGAACCAGTTGCTCATCCACAGTCACGTTTCTTCCCGGATTATACAAGCGCGGAAGCTGAGCCGCCCACAGGTCCCAGACCCGGCGTATGGCGGCGAGCTTATCCGCGGAGCGGCGCGCGCCTCTCGTGGCGCGATCGTCGAAGCGGAGATGACGCGAATACCTGTAAAAGGTTTTCAGGGACATGGTGGCGCGGAATACGGCCCTGCCCGTGTGGGCGTCCCAAAGGCTGGCCGCGGCTTCTCCTCGCGATTTGAACACTCCCGCTAGGATCAGCAGTCCCAGGTAAGCGCGCAAATCGACCTCGTCCATGCTCTTCCACACGTCGGAGCCAAACCGGCGCACTCCCTCCCGATTGGTTTCGGCGACAATTATTTGTTCGATTTCCGGCGTCACGAAAAGGCCGAACGTCGAGGCGATCTTGTGCTGCTGCTGCCGCTGCTGTGGATCATGAGAAGGAAGAGCAGCAGAAGGAACAGGACCGCCACGGCCAAGGCCGCAATCGCGGTCGCCTTCATCACCTCCGTCGCTGTCCTCAGCCTCAGCCTCGTACTCGCTGTCAGCCCTCGCCGCCTCGGCGGCCGAGTGCAAATTGTCTTTGTCCTTCTCTTGCTGTTGCGGCTTCTCCTGCCGTACACCTTCCATTGCTCGAATTGCATATCGTGTGGGTCCGGGAGTTCCTACAGGCGATGGGGAACGAGGACGACGACGACGATCCTCCCGGTCGTCGGCGTCGTACGGGGATGAAGATGTGGAGGATGACCGTGGTGTTGACGGCGATGAGGTGGTGGCGGGGCTAAAGTAAGGTTGGCGAGAATCGTACGGTACAGTACACCATTGTATTTGACCGTCTTTCGAACTGTGAAACAAAACTGTCGCTGCTGCTGCTGCTGCTTCTTTGTCTCGTGCCGCTGCTGTTGTCGGATGTCTGCGAGGCATGACATTACTGTCGTGGCCGTCTTCCTCGTCCTCATCCTCCTTATCTGTGCTGTAGTCCTCGTAGTCCTCACAGTCCCGGTCGTCGTCCTCCGCCTCGCCCCCTTCTTTGGGTTCAGAGTCCTGTTGTTCGTCGCCACCTTCTTCTTCTTTTTCTTCTTCATCTTGTTCTTTTTCTTCTTCTTCTTCTTCTTCTTCTTCTGATATCTCTTCATCTACATTGTCCTCCTCTGGGGAATCTACAGCCTCTTGTGAGAAGAGTAACCGTAGAATTTCAAGTGCACTCAGTTGTTGCCCGTCACTACGCCCGCTATCCGTTTTTTGACTTGTTGTAGCCGAATTCTGCTGCTGCTCCTGTGATGACATGGCTGCAAAAAACAAACAAACAAACAAAGGATGCCTGTAGTAAGTAGTACAGGGATTAGGTTTGGAGTGGTGGGGTTGTGCAGCGTGTGCGTGCGTGTGCGTGCGCTGCTGCTGCTGCTGCTGCAGGGTAGGTGCAACAAAGGAGGTATAGTGAAGGAATAGTAAATACATTGAAAGGTAAGGGTGTGAGTGAGTGAGTGAGTGAGATGGGCAATGGGAAATGCCTCGGTACAGATGATATCAGTGTGTGTGCGTGCGCGCGCCAGGCTCAGCAGCTGCCTTGCCTTTCACCTTCTTGTAAAGCACTTTGAATTACTTTGTGTACGAATTGCGCTATACAAATAAACTTGCCTTGCCTTGCCTTCTCCAATGAGTTCAAACTATATGATACTATTATGATTTTTAGTAGTAGTAGTAGTAGTAGTAGTAGTAGTAGTAGTAGTAGTAGTAGTAGTAGTAGTAGTCGTCAATTGTTATATTCTTATCATGTATATGTATATTATCATGAACGTAATAAACAAACTTAATAAAAGAGACAAAGATTTGAGTATGCATTTCTTTATTTTTTAATAATCATAATTATGAGTAATACATTTATCCCTTTCACCCCAGCATAGATAGACCCTGCATCAAAAAATAGGGAGTTGAGGGGAGGTTGATTTTCAGTCTATGATAGCAACACACACACACACACACACCAACCAATGAGGTGGTATTGTACAGTAGATACATTAAAGTGAAAGGTTAAGTTGTGAACTAAATACTAACTGATGTAAATATTACTAGACTAACACACATTTATTTCTGAGGTTTAATATATAAATATTTTTTGCACAATTGTTTTCTCTCTCTCTCTCTCTCTCTCTCTCTCTCTCTCTCTGTCACACACACACACACACACACACATCCCTCCAAGACATGTTTCTTCAGCAGCTGCCTCCTGGAGCGCAAGGACAAGTCATCCCCTCTGCTTCTGCTCCGGCTTTTGCTCCCGTCACTGAAACCGCTGTTAGCGAAACAGTCGCAGAAGCCGAGGCGGACTCGAAAGCAGCGGCGGAGGACGCTGCTACGGAGGCGGTCGAAGCCAGGAGGCTCGCTTTGCGCGATGCCCTGAGAGAGACGGTAGTACTGATGTGCAACGCGCAGTCCTCCGCTTCGAGCCCTTTCACCGTAGTGACAGAATTCAAACTTTCACGTTACCACCAGCCCATCCACACTACCTCGTCTGGAGGCAACGCGTATCTGAACGCAGTCCTGCGTGACATTAAGCTTCAGGGCTCTGACCAATACCCCAACTATTTTCTTCTTTTAAGGAATGCCAGCAGGGCCTGCGCAGATTATCTCAGTGCAGTCGTGACAGCGGCAAATGCGCAACAAGAACGAGGACGAGGACGAGGACGAGAAACAAACAAAGAGACAAAACATACAGCAGGCCTAGTGCCTGGCCCCTCTCTCGCAGTCACCGGGGACTTGAGCAATCACTGCGATATAGTTGTCATCTTTGAAATGGACCAAGACGGGAAGGAATCGAGAAACATTTTCACCACTGACTCGTGCTCTCCCGCTATGCGAAATGCTGTACTTCAGGGCAATGTACGCTTTGACTGTGAACAAATATGGAGACCGATAAAGACACACATACGCTACTTATTCTGTCTTTGTTTTGCTCCTCACCATAGATTTAGACTAAGTCCAACAGCATAAAACAGGGGTAGGAGGAGGAGGAGGAGGAAGGAGGAGGAGGAGGAGGAGGAGGAGGAGGAGGAGGAGGAGGAGGAGGAGGAGGAGGAGGAGGAGGAGGAGGAGGAGGAGGAGGAGGAGGAGGAGGAGGAGGCAGGCCCACAGGTAGGGTAGCGTGAGGGTTTATAAATAAATAAATAGTCAGACATGCATACATACATGCATACATGCATACATACATACGTACATACATACAGTAGTATGTAGAAGAGCAAAAACATGTATCCACAAGAGCCTGGAGCCCAAGAAGAAGCACAAGAAGGTGGACAAGCAGGAGCACAACAAGAGCCACAAGAAGAAGCACAAAGAAGGCCAGGAGAACAAGACCAAGACCAAGAAGAAGAAGACGAAGCCAGAGCTGGATTGAACGCAATAATCGAAGAGGCTGTGGGAGCTGGCCTGAATGAACGAGCGCTACTAAGGATGCGCGATGCCTTAATTGAGATGGCACGAGTGTGTCACTTTCAACCCCCTTTCGCTATATGGCATCGGTTCAAGCTGTCACGGTACCACGACGGTATCCACACGACACACGCCGGAGACAATCGGTGTCTAGATATGGCACTGCGCAGAGTTCGGAGACATCGACGACACTTCCAGACCTACTGGCGTCTTCTGAGTAAGATCGGCAGGGCCTGCGCGAGTTATTTCCGTGCAGTTCTGAGAGCAGCGAATGAAGAAGGACAAGGACAAGGAGAAGGAACAGCACCACCAGCACCACCACCACCACCAAACAATTAACCTACAGAGACACTGTGAAATACAGATTACCTTTGAAATGGATCAAGATCGAAATGTGGTGAGGAAAAGTGTGATCCCAAAGGACTGCTCACCAGGACTGGCAACTGCAGTGTCTCAGGGGATGATGGGGCAGTTTGAGCTTGAAGAAATTTGGCGTCTTTTAAAGACACACTCAGTGTACACGTTCTGTGTTGCATTTGCCCCTCAGCACAAGTTTAGCCTAAGATGTTAGTAGTAGCGAGCGGCACCGTGAAGAAAAACAAATCCGACAAAAAAAAACAACAACACAAAAGCACCAATGTGGAAAGTTGTTGCCTACACAACAATTACAATGAAAACCAAACAAAAATAAAAATAAATAAAACAGATACACGTTGTCTCTGGGAGTGTTTATCATTAGAAATACTCGTGTACTATGTATTGCATGTGTCTTGCGTTTGCCCCACAGCATAGATTTAGCACACTCACTATAATGATAGCAGAAAACACCACCATCACCATTCTGAAAAGAAACAATATTTAAAGAAATACAACATACAGGCAGGCAGGCAGGCAGGCACGCGCACGCACACACACACACACACACACACACACGCACGCACGCACATACGCGCATAACCGCATACGCACATACGCGCTAGCTACTGTATTCCAGAGTCAGCAGAGTAGTCAAATTTTNCACCATTCTGAAAAGAAACAATATTTAAAGAAATACAACATACAGGCAGGCAGGCAGGCAGGCACGCGCACGCACACACACACACACACACACACACGCACGCACGCACACATACGCGCATAACCGCATACGCACATACGCGCATACGCGCTAGCTACTGTATTCCAGAGTCAGCAGAGTAGTCAAATTTTTGGCCTATTTATTAAACTCCACTAGCCTGATTCATCAGCGCACGGTTTCACGCCGCGGTTTCTACTCGGTATATTATATACTCGATAAACCGTATTCTTGATTCCTGACCTAGTCGCTGGAGAGAAATGAAAATTGAGTGGAGGCACTAAGTGGCACCAGCCTGGGTTAAAAAAAAACTCCACCACCACCACGACCTTATCCTTTGTCTGTCTGTCTGTCTGTCTGTCTGCTGCTGTCCTTCTGTCAGTCAGTCCTATAAAAGAAAAAAAAAAAAAAAAAAGTTCCAAGTACAATTTTAAGCATGGATCCACGGCAGCCTGGGGCTCATGGAGGATCACAGGGGGCTTCTAGAGCAGCACAAGCACAAGGAAGAGGAACACAAGCCACCGCGGAGGTTATGATGGATATTATCGTAAGAGCCGCAGAGGAAAGCGGACAGAGCGAAGCCTCGCTGCGGACGATGCGCGATGCCATGTTAGAGATGGTCCTCGTGTGTGACACGCAGCCTCCTTTCGCTCTACTGCATGAGTTCAAACTGTCACGCTATCACGAAGGCGCACACTCGGTCAATTCTGGAGGCAATCAGTTTCTGAACACCCTACTGCAAAATGTTCGACTGTACCCGGAAGAGTACCCCACCTATTGGCTTCTGTTAAGAAAGGCCAGCAGGGTCTGCTCCCGCTATTTTCGTGCAGTCATGAGAGCAGCAAATGTAGAAGAAGAAGAAGAAGAACAACAACAACAAGAAAAAGAAGGAGAAGGAGAACAAGACCAACCAGCACCACTACCAGTTAACCGGCAGGAACACTGTGACATACGAGTGATCTTTGAAATGGATCGAGATCGCAAAGAGTTCAGAAACATTGTGACTACAGAGGACTGCCCCCCACCAATGAGAAATGCAGTGTCTCTAGGGACTGTAGACTTTGACCTTGAGGAAATGTGGAAAATTTTAAAGATACACTCTGCCTACGTATTCTGCCTCGCTTTTGCGCCTGGCCATAGGTTTACACTGGCAGTGTCGCCGTGAATGAAGCGAAATGAAGCAGCACCAGTCTGAAAAGTTTTTGCTTTGCTAGTAGTAGTAGTAGTAGTAGTAGTAGTAGTAGTAGTAGTAGTAGTAGTAGTAGTAGTACATTGTTATATTGTTATTACAAGACATGTTTATCTTTTATGTATTACAGTGATTATTGTCATGAATGTAATAAACAAAATGAATCACAAAGGCTTGAGTTTTACATTTAAAGAACATTTATTTTCATGAATCCTCAGTCCTGAGTTTCCTGCAAAGGTCTGACCACGGGTCAAGTTCACAAAAGACTCGGCTCAAGACTGAAGATGCTTTCTCGCCTTTTGGTATCACAGTGTCCAGCACGTATCGGGCTTTGTCTTGTTTGCTCTTCTTTTTTTCCGTGCAGTTTACTTCCTCTGGGGTCAGGACCTTCTCCTGCTGAAGTTTATCCAGGAGCTGGTTCAGCACCTCTTCAGACACTCTCTGCACAAACTCAGAACGCATCGACTGGAGCTGCTGCACAGCACTGACTCGGGGACTGACCCGGGGCCTTTGGTCTTCACCCACAGTGACCTCTGAAGCACAGAAACAGACCTGATCAGAGCAGAGAAACAAACACACAACAGAGAAACAAACACACAACAGAGAAACAAACACACAACAGAGAAACAAACCCAGCAGGACAATAACATGTGACTGACCAGTCATATTCAGCTCGTGTCTCCA